CCATTGTTATTTATTGTAGAAATAACCAGTGTATTTAGATGCTTAGAGAAGGAAATATAAACCTGTGGCTAAATGTCACGTTAAATGTTGCTATTTGAAGGAAAACGACACATTCTAATAACTTATTTGATTTCTTCCTAGCTTCCTATACACCTTTTGGTTCATGCTGAGCTGTGGCCTTCCAGGACCCCATGCTGGGTGTGTGTGCAGAACATCTTAGTCTTTTAGCATATGTTAGTTGATTCCTACAAAAGAATAAAGGCGATGTCAGTCATGAATCATACCAGCAAGGTGGACACGTTTAGGCCCACTGCCCGCATCAGGAGATCAGGAGACCCCGTGCCATCGGGCCCTTTCTCACCCAGTGCCCCGCTGGACCCTCAGAGAAACCACCTGCCTGAAGTTTGGGTTTATCAGTCTCCTATTTACGAAGTAGTTTTATCACTTGCATGTGAATCCCTAAACAATATATTTAAATTATTTTGTTTTATTTAAATTATTTTGTATAAGAAAGGAATCTTACTGTTGATAGTCATTTATAACTTGATTTTTTCACTCATTAGATTTATCCTTGCTGTATGTAGTTCATTTGTTTTCACTGCTGTAGTTCATAGCATGAATACGCCAGAGTTTTCACGTTCATGAGTGTTTGTGTTGTTTCATTGCCTTCCTGCCTTTCTGTCTTGTCTGTCTTTGCCATTGAGAGCCGTGCTGCCCTGAACATTCTTGTGTGTCTTGCTACCCACATGCAAGAGTTTTCCTAGATTATAAATCTAAGTGGAAAATGCTGTGTCAGAGTAGGTAAATGTTTGATTTAAATGTTTTCTAAGGAGATTATATTAATTTATTAGAGTTCTGTTGATTCAGATCCTTATCATTTGGTATTATTAGAATTCTTAATTTCTTCTGATTAGTAGGTATAACATCATGATTATGCTAATAAAGTTAAGCTTCCTGTCATAGTTTTATTGGCCATTAAGATTTCCTATTCTGTGAAACTCTTTTTCCTGTTTCTTGTCATTTTTCTGTTGGGCCGTGTGTCTTTGAAAAATTTTAACTGTTAAATTATTGACCTTTAAAAACCACTCTAGGCTGGGCACAGTGGCTCACACCTGTAATCCTAAGACAGTGGGAAGCTGAGGCGGGAGGATCGCTTGAGGCCAGAAGTTTGGGACCAGCCTGGGCAACATAGTGAGACCCTGTCTCTAAAAAAAAAAAAAAAAATGAACTGAGTGTGGTGGCGTGTGCCCGTAGTCCCAGCTACTTGGGAGGCTGAAGCAGGAGGGAGAATTGTTTGAGCTTAGGAGTTTGAGGCTGTGGTGAGCTGTGATTGCTCCACTGCACTCCAGCCTGGGTGACAGAGTGAGACCCTGTCTCTAAAACAAACATACAATAAACCTAAACTATTCTGGATATTAATGCTCTGTCAGTTATATACGTGGCAAATATCTTTTCCCAGATTGTGGTTTGTTGTTTCATTTTCATTATGGTATTTTTTGTGAACAGAT